CCCACGAGTCGAACGAATTCTGGATAGGATAAATTAAAGCAGTTCTGTCTCATAAACTTTGTATCGCCCACATCCCTTAGATAAGCTATAGAAAAGAAAGTAAGATAGAACGAAATGCAGAAATCAAATAATATAGAAAAGAAAAAGAAATGAAAGGAAGTCGGACTCTATTTCGAGTTGTACCCCATCTGAGAGAAATGTGGAATATTCCCACCCTTCAACTCATCTAGATTAGCCTTTCGATTTAAGTCTTTTAACAAACTAGTTGAACCTTTCGAATCTCTAGGAGGTATTAAACTTTGATCCAGAGGAGACACATTCTGAACAAATAAAAAAGGGAAAGATAATCGAATTTTTTTCTTTTCGATATTTTGAATTACACTTTCGAATATAGAGACTCTTTACTCATTAAAAATGGAAACTGACTCTATATACAGGCAACTCAATAAATATGTATAAGAATGAATCGATACAGAATAAATAGATAGGTGGACCTATCTCTAGCAATTCATTTTATTAAGTTAAGTTAATAAGTTTAAGTTCTAATTTAGTTACTCCTAAACAAATTAATCATGTGCCGAGAACCAGATTTGAACTGGTGACACAAGGATTTTCAGTCCTCTGCTCTACCAGCTAAGCTATCCCGACCATTTCCAACATGCCATTTTCATCATTTTACTAAAAGACTTAGGTCTATGTCAATTAAAAAAAAGGGATTTCCTATGTTTCAGTCTCAAACATGTATGTGGATCAGATCTATCACACCACTTGTGGAAAGAAAAGACAAAAACCAACCCGGTGTAAAAGAATCAAATGAATGAAAAAGATAAAGAAATTTTGGAAGATAAAAAATTAGCGAGTAACGGGGATCGTTTTGGGGATAGAGGGACTTGAACCCTCACGATTTCTAAAGTCGACGGATTTTCCTCTTACTATAAATTTCCTTGTTGCCGATATTGACATGTAGAATAGGACTCTATCTTTATTCTCTTCCGATTAATCATTTCTCTATCAGACTATGGAGTGCATTACATGTATGTGTATCATATCTATCACACCACTTGTCAAAAGAAAAGAAAAAAACCAACCTGGTGTAAAAGAATCAAACGAATGAATTTGATCAATTCCTATTCGATCTTTTCTTCAACTTAGAATTGATTCAGAACAATTTCTTCTTTCTAGAGTTTTAACAGAAAGATTCTTTTATGCAAGGCAGTTAACTCCATTTGTTAGAACAGCTTCCGTTGAGTCTCTGCACCTATCCTTTTTTAGTCTGATTCTATCTTTCTGTATGATAAGAACCTTTAGTTGTTTTTTTTTTCACAAAAAGGATTTGGCTCAGGATTGCCCATTTTTTATTCCAGGGTTTCTCTGAATTTGCAAGTCATCACTTAATAAGTTTCCATACCAAGGCTCAATCCAATTAAGTCCGTAGCGTCTACCAATTTCGCCATATCCCCCCTTCTTTTTTTGAGATTAAGATCTTTTTTTTTTATTATCCTTTATCCTATCATTTGTTTTTTCTACTCGAACTATTGAATTCTTTAGATACGGATTCCTAGAAAAATATTTTCTTCCCTCTTTCTTAGTTTATTTGATTTAATGTCTATCCTCTTTCCTAGCGCAGACCGACCTTAGGATTGGTCTAATCAGAAAGGATTCTCTCATTTATGGATACAGAATTCAATATGGATACATATAGATAATATAGACCCTATTTTTTCTATATGCCCCTCTCTATCATTTTTAGGATGCAATTGGCAATGCTCGAAAGGTGAATTCTTTTTGATATATAGATCTTTATATGGAATTCTGAATAATTGAAGAATGAAAAGGGAATAGCTAGGATTCCTGCAGTTTACTAAATTCCTCTGGATGTACAATTTCTGTTAGGAGAGCCCGCTTAGCTCAGAGGTTAGAGCATCGCATTTGTAATGCGATGGTCATCGATTCGACTCCAATAGCTGGCTTTTCCCTATTTGTTAGAGTTTTTACGTAATTGAAAATGTCTTTTTTGAATCAAAGAAGTTGGAAAAGACTTCTGTCCTTTTTTCGAAAGGTTAGTATTATTTTATTATGTCGTAGCAACGTAAAGGTCTA